ATTCAAAAATTCGATTCGACTGATTCGGCGAATTCGTGAAAAAATTTCGATTCGAGTCGAATATATTCGCTGCGAATTTAACTTATAAAAGGGTGTTTCTAGGCTTCAGAGAGCCTTTATATTAGTGCAGAACACTGTACCTTTAATTTAAATGCCCTTGGAGTCTGCTGGGGAAGAGAAATAATACTGACAGTCAGTATGACATGCAGATGAGTGCCGTCGATCTTAGAATCACCGCACACTTCACTCATTTGGGCAGTCACGGGGCCAAAACCAGAGTGTGGAGCCACAGTGTGGCGGTGGAGGCAGCAGCAATGGGAGGCCATACAGCACCCTATGACAAAAATGGAAACCACCAGCAGTGTGAGGAGACCTGAAAGTGGCACATGGCAGAGTGTGGCGATGGAGACAGCAGCAATGGGAGGCCGTACAGGGACCCATGACACACTCTGGACCTGGCAGCAGCATGAGGAGGCGGTACAGGGGCCCATGACAGATTACGGGCCTGGCAGCAGCATGAGGAGTCGGTACGGGGGCCCATGGCAGATTACGGGCCTGGCAGAAGCAATGGGAGGCCGTACAGGGACCCATGACACACTCTGGACCTGGCAGCAGCATGAGGAGGCGGTACAGGGGCCCATGACAGATTACGGGCCTGGCAGCAGCATGAGGAGTCGGTACGGGGGCCCATGACACACTCTGGACCTGGCAGCAGCATGAGGAGGCGGTACAGGGGCGCATGACAGATTACGAGCCTGGCAGCAGCAACTTGGACAGGAGGACGTTCAGCTTCTGCACCGTCGGTGGTGCGTGCTCGCAAACTGTTGTCTCTTGGAAACGGATTCCAAGAAAGACTGCTGACGGAATCCGTGAAGAGGAGTAGCAGGAGAAGGAGCATCTGAACGAGCGGAATATGCCAACAAGCGACAACAGGGGCCCATGACAGATTACGGGCCTGGCAGCAGCATGAGGAGTCGGTACGGGGGCCCATGGCAGATTACGGGCCTGGCAGCAGCAATGGGAGGCCCGTAATCTGCCAGCACCCTATGACAAAAAATGGAACACACCAGCAGTGTGTGAGGAGACCTGAAAGTGGCACATGGCAGAGTGTGGCGATGGAGACAGCAGCAATGGGAGGCCGTACAGGGACCCATGAGAGACTCTGGACCTGGCAGCAGCATGAGGAGGCGGTACAGGGGCCCATGGCAGATTAGGGGCCTGGCAGCAGCTATGGGAGGCCCGTAATCTGCCAGCACCCTATGACAAAAAATGGAACACACCAGCAGTGTGAGGAGACCTGAAAGTGGCACATGGCAGAGTGTGGCGATGGAGACAGCAGCAATGGGAGGCCGTACAGGGACCCATGAGAGACTGTGGACCTGGCAGCAGCATGAGGAGGCGGTACTGGGGCCCATGGCAGATTAGGGGGCCTGGCAGCAGCAATGGGAGGCCCGTAATCTGCCAGCACCCTATGACAAAAAATGGAACACACCAGCAGTGTGTGAGGAGACCTGAAAGTGGCACATGGCAGAGTGTGGCGATGGAGACAGCAGCAATGGGAGGCCGTACAGGGACCCATGAGAGACTCTGGACCTGGCAGCAGCATGAGGAGGCGGTACAGGGGCCCATGGCAGATTAGGGGCCTGGCAGCAGCTATGGGAGGCCCGTAATCTGCCAGCACCCTATGACAAAAAATGGAACACACCAGCAGTGTGAGGAGACCTGAAAGTGGCACATGGCAGAGTGTGGCGATGGAGACAGCAGCAATGGGAGGCCGTACAGGGACCCATGAGAGACTGTGGACCTGGCAGCAGCATGAGGAGGCGGTACTGGGGCCCATGGCAGATTACGGGCCTGGCAGCAGCAATGGGAGGCCCGTAATCTGCCAGCACCCTATGACAAAAAATGTAACACACCAGCAGTGTGTGAGGAGACCTGAAAGTGGCACATGGCAGAGTGTGGCGATGGAGACAGCAGCAATGGGAGGCCGTCAGGGACCCATGAGACACTGTGGACCTGGCAGCAGCATGAGGAGGCGGTACAGGGGCCCATGGCAGATTAGGGGCCTGGCAGCAGCAATGGGAGGCCCGTAATCTGCCAGCACCCTATGAAAAAATGGAACCTGGGCTGGGGCAGGCAGAACCGCCGTATCTTTATCACGGTTTTGGCAGGCCCCGCAGAGCAATGGCGACGCTGCATATGCTGACGCAACACTGTAGTCCCAACATGGGCACCCCTGGCACGCTTGACTTTCTGGCCACATAGTCGACATACGGCTACGTTTACTTCCTCGGTGAGGCGGCTTGACGAAAAATTGCACCACACCGCCGAGTAGGAAACTTTGCCCCCGATTACTCCTCACTGCAATGGGAGGCCTACTTAATCCGTGCACACCGGCACCACTAATGGGCGTAACACAGGCTGCAGTGGAGAGGTGCTCTACTCCGTGGCACGTTTGCCTCCAGAGTGTGCGACCCTGCTGGAGGCAGCAGCAATGGGAGGCCGTACAGGGACCCATGACACACTCTGGACCTGGCAGCAGCATGAGGAGGCGGTACAGGGGCCCATGGCAGATTACGGGCCTGGCAGCAGCAATGGGAGGCCCGTAATCTGCCAGCACCCTATGACAAAAAATGGAACACACCAGCAGTGTGAGGAGACCTGAAAGTGGCACATGGCAGAGTGTGGCGATGGAGACAGCAGCAATGGGAGGCCGTACAGGGACCCATGAGAGACTCTGGACCTGGCAGCAGCATGAGGAGGCGGTACAAAACAGGGGCCCATGGCAGATTACGGGCCTGGCAGCAGCAATGGGAGGCCCGTAATCTGCCAGCACCCTATGACAAAAAATGGAACACAACAGCAGTGTGAGGAGACCTGAAAGTGGCACATGGCAGAGTGTGGCGATGGAGACAGCAGCAATGGGACTGTGGACCCATGAGAGACTCTGGACCTGGCAGCAGCATGAGGAGGCGGTACAGGGGCCCATGGCAGATTAGGGGCCTGGCAGCAGCTATGGGAGGCCCGTAATCTGCCAGCACCCTATGACAAAAAATGGAACACACCAGCAGTGTGTGAGGAGACCTGAAAGTGGCACATGGCATGAGACACTGTGGACCTGGCAGCAGCATGAGACTCTGGAGGCGGTACAGGGGCCCATGGCAGATTAGGGGCCTGGCAGCAGCTATGGGAGGCCCGTATCTGCCAGCACCCTATGACAAAAAATGGAACACACCAGCAGTGTGTGCCGACCTGAAAGTGGCACATGGCATGAGACACTGTGGACCTGGCAGCAGCATGAGGAGGCGGTACAGGGGCCCATGGCAGATTAGGGGCCTGGCAGCAGCTATGGGAGGCCCGTAATCTGCCAGCACCCTATGACAAAAAATGGAACACACCAGCAGTGTGTGAGGAGACCTGAAAGTGGCACATGGCAGAGTGTGGCGATGGAGACAGCAGCAATGGGGGAGGCCGTACAGGGACCCATGAGAGACTCTGGACCTGGCAGCAGCATGAGGAGGCGGGGTACAGGGGCCCATGGCAGATTAGGGGCCTGGCAGCAGCTATGGGAGGCCCGTAATCTGCCAGCACCCTATGACAAAAAATGGAAACACACCAGCAGTGTGAGGAGACCTGAAAGTGGCACATGGCATGAGACAGCTGTGGGACCTGGTACAGCATGAGACACTCTTGGACCTGGCAGCATGAGGAGGCGGTACAGGGGCCCATGGCAGATTAGGGGCCTGGCAGCAGCTATGGGAGGCCCGTAATCTGCCAGCACCCTATGACAAAAAATGGAACACACCAGCAGTGTGTGAGGAGACCTGAAAGTGGCACATGGCAGAGTGTGGCGATGGAGACAGCAGCAATGGGAGGCCGTACAGGGACCCATGAGAGACTCTGGACCTGGCAGCAGCATGAGGAGGCGGTACAGGGGCCCATGGCAGATTAGGGGCCTGGCAGCAGCTATGGGAGGCCCGTAATCTGCCAGCACCCTATGACAAAAAATGGAACACACCAGCAGTGTGAGGAGACCTGAAAGTGGCACATGGCAGAGTGTGGCGATGGAGACAGCAGCAATGGGAGGCCGTACAGGGACCCATGAGAGACTCTGGACCTGGCAGCAGCATGAGGAGGCGGTACAGGGGCCCATGGCAGATTAGGGGCCTGGCAGCAGCTATGGGAGGCCCGTAATCTGCCAGCACCCTATGACAAAAAATGGAACACACCAGCAGTGTGAGGAGACCTGAAAGTGGCACATGTTTGGGGCATGATTCATGGCGGATTTAGTCAGTTGTGTCAGGAACTGGTGGTTTGAAATCCCAGACTAATCCACGCCTGATTCATTTTCACAAACGTGAGTCTCTCCACACTTTGGGTGGACAGTCGTGTCCTCCGCGGAGTTACAATACCTCCTGCCGCACTAAACACGCGCTCCGATGCCACGCTACTGGCCGGGCATGACAGCCTTTCAAGGGCAAAATTCAGCTAGTTGGGGCCAAAGGTCAAGTTTCGTTGCCCAGTAGTCAAGGGGATTGTCTACCTCGGTTGGCAGGGTGCTGTCCAAGTAGGCCCAAGCCTGTTGTTTGAGGTCCTGCTCCAGGTCCACCTGATGCTGCTGCTGCTGGCGGCTGGTTAGTAGTTTCCTCACTGCGCTGGTGAAGAAAGCTACTCATCATCGACTGCAGAGACTGAGGCAGCCGCTGCTGGTGGAGCTGCCACTGCTCCTACCACCCCACCCCTCCCCTGCTGCCATGGCAGCGGAACGCGAGCGCACAGGGCCCACAGTGTCTGAGGATGGACGTTGGCGCAGAAAGGCAGAGACCAAACTGACTACATAGGTGGTTTTTATAGTACGTTATTTTGGCCTCCCTCTCAGCAGGTGTGAAAAAGGCCACCATTTTTGAACGGTAGCGAGGGTCCAACAAGGTGGACAGCCAAAAGTCATCCCTCTGTCTGATGGTTATTATTCGGCTGTCGCTACGCAAGCAAAGCGAGCATGCTATGGGCCATTTGTGCCAAGGAATGCGAGGGACTCCCTGCCTCCATCTCCACAGCATACTGCCACGGTGCGTCTGGGTCCTCTGTCTCCTCCTCCTCCTCCTCTACCAGATGCTCCTGCTCCTCCACTCCTGTCCGCTGAGTGGAAAAACCACCCATTTCACTCAATAATTCCTGAGCACAAATGTCCTCCTCTACCTCCTCCTCTTCTTCCTGTCCTGCCCCCACAGGGGTCATGTGGCGTTGAGATCTGTGCGCCACGTCTACCGCACCCTGACCAGCCATTGTTAACAGCATTTGTTCCAGGACGTGCAACAGAGGAATGACGTCGTTCATCCCATAGTCCTGCCGACTCACGAATAGCGTGGCCTCCTCAAAGGGCCTGAGCAAGCGGCAGGTGTCACGCATGAGCTGCCAATGGCTGACATCGAAGTTACACAGGGGAGTACCTTTATCCGCTTGTAACATCAGGAAATCGGTGATGGCCTTTCGCTGTTCGTAAAGGCGGTCTAACATGTGTAGGGTTGAATTCCACCTTGTTGCAACGTCGCAGATCAGGCGATGCTGTGGAATTCCGTTCTGCCGCTGCAGCTCAAGGAGGGTGTGCTTTGCGGTGTAGGAATGGCTGAAAATGCATGCAAAGTTTACGTGACATTTTAAGGATGTCTTGCAGTGGGATGGTGGATTTTAGGAACCGCTTGACAACCAGATTGAACACGTGAGCCATGCATGGCGCATGGCACAACCTTCCTTGACGCAGAGCAGACACCATGTTCTTTCCGTTGTCGGTCAACATGGTTCCGATTTTCAGTTTGCGCGGAGACAGCCATCTGTCGATTTCTCTGTTCATTACACTCAGAAGTTCCTCCCCTGTGTGACTACGTTCGCCAAGGCATACCAGGTGCAGCACAGCGTGACACCGTTGCGCCCTGCACATGTGATATGCCGGTCGGGTAATGGGACTTGGCACGGGGGTGGCGGCTGAGGACACGGCGGAAGAAGAGGTGGTAGAGGCGGACATCTTTTGCCGGACCAAGGACGTGCAAACGTGGAGGCAAAAGCGCGGCGTGACCTTGTCCAAGTTGCTGGTGCGGCTGTGACGGCACCACGTTCACC